CGGCCAGGACCAGGTCCAACAGGGCACCTCCTCTGGTGGCTTATCACAGTGCTTGGGAGAGAAACTATATGTTCATGATCCAAGAGCTTGGGATGTCTCTTTCAGGGATGTGCAACAACGTTTTGTTTATGTAAATGAGAAGTTACATAGAAAGTATTCAAAATCAGATATTTCATTTCTCATGGACTCGCCACATTGTCAAAGAATTATGAAAATTTAGCTTGAAGTAATAAATTTTGGAAAAAAGATGCATTAAACAACAGCTACTTTAAAATCAAAGATGAGAAAATGAAAATCCTTAGGTTTGTTCTGGAAACTATGCCCAAAACAGAAGTTAAAAAGGAATATTAAATATCAGCAAACAAGAAAAACTAATGGGTATTCTTCAGACAGCTGGAAAATCTACTGTGCTGAAACCAACAGCAAACAGCATAAACTTGATTAAATGGAATATAATATAAAAGTCACTGGTAATAACTAATATTTGAAGAGAAATCAGGCTGCTGAATTAAAAAAAAGTGTATCAGTAAATAATCTGCCATTAGGAAGAGGAAGTATTGAAGAGCATTTAGTGGAAATCTGGACAATAAAGCAGTAAAAGGAGCAAGTTTACTTAGACAATACCTAAATTCAGTGTAGTCTGACTCATAACTGATGACCTAAGAGCCACCACAACACAGGTTGTTTTTTTGTTTTGTTTTAATTCTCAGCATGTATAAGGATACTGCAGAAAAGCTAAACTGTAACTTGGAGGAAAAAGGATAACTATCCCAGGCTTATTTTCAAGATAATTGAGATAACAGATTGTCAGCAAATTGGGGCATCAAAAGAGGAACTACTGGAACCCATAAACAAGTGGAAGGTTCAAAGAAGGATTAATTGAGTTCTCAATTAATGAGTTATTAAACTGTTACAAAAAAAGAGAGATACTAGATTATTAAAATTGCCCATTATTGTAGAGATCTGGAAACGGGCCATTATCTCTTTTCTTCCAAAACCATCAGTATGCTATTTTGCTTGACTGACTAAAGACTAAAAGTAAAAAAAATCCCTCAAAAATCCACAAGCACGTGATATAGGATCATAGGTCTGGAAAGGCAAGGTTGTCCCTGCATAAACCATCTCAGCCAAGCATCATTCCAACCTACTCTTCAACATTTCTGAAGATGATAATCTCACAAGCCCCCTAGATAGCCTGTTCCAATGCTTGACCACCCTCATAGTGAGAAAGTTCTTTCTAATCTCCAATCAAAAATTCCTGCACTTCAGCTTGAGGCCATTGTTCCATGAGGTCAAAAGAAACCAGTACATTGTTTATATGCCAACCTTCCCAACAACTAAATAAAATACTGCTGAGTAAATGGGCTGCTAGAACATTTTCACCCTATCAACAAAAGCATAGGCAAAGGAGAACTAATACCACCATTTAACAGAATTTCAAGAAACCTTTGACAAATTCCCTCAAAAGGGGGTATCAAGGATATAAAATAGTTATGGTCTAAGAGAGCAAGCACAGTTATGTTTCAGAAACTAGGTTAGAAAAAAGAAAGAGGGAATAGTAGAAATAAACAGTTGATTTTCTGCACTAAAATAGTTTTAGAAAGATGTGAGAAAAGATAACTGTGAGAAATCCAAAAAGACTTGTTGGGTGGGCAGCACAATGCCAGATGCAATTCAGTGTTGACAACTACTAGGCCGTGTACATAAACTATAATTTGAACAACAAATTCCAACAACTCTGAAAAAAGAGAATGTGTGGAAAGTGCAATGAAAACTTTAGTTGAATATGAAGCACCATTTAAAAAACAAAACAAAACAAAACAGGACCAAATGTTAGGATGAGTAAGGAATGGGATGGAGAATAAAAGTCTAAATATTATAAGGCCATTAAACAAAAACAAACAAACCAGCCCAAACCATAAACATCCATTATCTTTCTCTGAACTTTCCTTTGGATCATCTGAAGTTGGCTAATTTCAGAGAAATGAAGCTGGCTTAGATGGATCACTGGCTGAATCCAGTAGAGCAATTCTTACATTGTCCCTACACACGTACACACAGACTAAATCTTTTCCCTTGTTTTTCTCCACTGATCTGCTTTACTGACAATATTTAGTCTGGCAAGATAGCATTTACTATTGCCCCTTCTTTCCCCAACTCATATCAGTCAAAAGAGCAAGACAAAGGAACATTACCAACGAATAAGCACTTAAAAGTAATTTCATAATGTGGCTTTTTTTTACTGCCATTCTCAAGTATTGAATCTGTCATGTTAAGAACATAAAATAAAATGTAACACTTTGATATACTAGTTTAGTAGGATATCTGTAATATTCATCTATGAATCCATATGGATTTTCTGTCCTCACTAGATGGATGGTATATACCTAAGGGTATTGGAATGGCTAAAAATGTCACAGAAAAAAAAAATCTGAAGAAATTCTAATAAGCCATATAGATAAACTAATTTTAAATGGCAGATGTCAGAATAGGCATAGAATAAATATAGATTACCTATAATTTTGCATATGAAAAATAGCCCACAGTATCAGTTTAAAATGACCTGTGTTCAAAACTATTCTATTGGATAAAATATGAGTTCCTAGAAATATGTTCTCTATTGTAAGTTTGCTCAACAGTTCTGGTTGTAGTCTAGGCAGAAGCAGATTGCACTAATGCAATGGACAAAGTACTAATTAGTAACCTTGTCTACAGCTATTCATCTTTTTTATCCATATGCCCAGTACTTAGCCATCTGTCTATTAAAGTTGATGGATTTTAAATATGGAAATGCACCAATATATATAGTTTTAATTATTTGCCATATCTTGAGGAAAAAATACATTTTGCATATGGAACAATTCATTTTCTATAACAGCCTGTCATCTTGAAAGTTACACCTCACATACATCCTGGATAATTTCTGCCTGTTCTATTTCTGCACTTTTAGTAGCATGAGATTTTTATCAAGGTAGCCTCTAAGGCGAGGGGCAAGAATTTCTTAGGGTGGCATCTTTTTTTGAACCAACTATGTGGTAGGGATAAGCTTAGGCAAACTTTCAAGTGCAAGACATTTATCCCATCCAGAACAACCTGTATCTGTGTTTGTCCTCAAATAGAAAAGTCCCAGGACTGGAGTGTATACACATCACCCTTCCAATCCAGGATTCAGTGAGCAGTTGAATGCACTGCCACTTTTGTGCCAACAATTCAATGATGTTATCCTGGGACAACTGTTCAGATTAACTTTGTGGTATAGTCGGACAAACTGCTAGCACTTCTTTTTCTGTGAATCTTTGGGGTTTGTCCCCAGACAACCAGCATTTGAATGATTGCACTTTATCCTGGGAGTAAGTAGTTTCTCCTGAGACAAATATGATGTCTGTTTGTAACCTAACGTCAGAAACCCAAAGCATTCATGAGTATTTTCTTCATTTTACACAGTTCTCTTTAATTTCAGTCTCTTAAAAGGCATAGATGTTTCCTGTTTCAGTGAAACTTGGTATTCCAGCTTCTTAGGTCATTTCAGTCTCTCAGGATAACATTCCTAACTCAAGCATCTGGCTTCCAAAAAAGCATTCTGGCATTAGGGAAATTAACTGCTCAACTGACACAGATAAGAATAAAATGAGCCAAAATTAAAGCAATTAATAGAGCCTGTTTTCTCTGAGTGCCAGGAATACTCAGATAAACAGGTAAAGAAAATCCTGCAGGGCACATGCTTTGGTTAAGGCAAATGATTATGAAACCCAATACCTGAATAGTCTTTTCTAGCAAAACAGACGCACGGTACCCCAAAGCCTGTCATCTAAGGCAATGACTATAAAGCCTCATTGCCAAGACCTGCCCGCTCATGCCAGTTCCATGAAGGCTCCACACCACCAGTTAAGCAGCACAGATAGTTTGGCATGTGCCTGAAGGACTTTGAGCATATGGCCCCTGGCTCTCCATCTGGACAGAGTTGCTTAGACACATGCCCAAGCTGCCTAATTTGAAGGCTTAGGCATGAATGGGAAGGGTCCCTCAGTGGCACACCTGGGCTCACTCTGGATATGGTACAGACATAGCCCGAGGCTATGTTTTGTTTTAAGCATCCAAATCACTACACTAGATCCAGTTTCTCCCTAAAATTCCCATGAAGCACCAGATTCTTTATTTTTTTCACCATCTCAGCATGAGAAGTTCCCTATTCAATTATACTAAACTACCACACATGTTCAGAAGTAACCCAGCACAGCCCCTAGGAACCTAACTCTTTTGTTGTCAAGCTATTCCACTGGACATGCTTCATATATATAAAGCATCCCTTGAGCACCCCTGTGCAAGACAGAACAGGAGTGGTCTCTGCAGTGCTCTCAGCCGCCCAGTGAAAGAATGAGAGATCCAAGCACATTAGACATGGAGCAGGATCCGCTCTCCTGAGGGGAACACACACATTTGGGGCATGCTTCAGCCAAGACTAAGGCCCAGACAGGCATTCACTTCTTTGAAATTCTCAGTGTCAAAAAGTAGCAGCTAGTAGATGCAGAAAAGCACCAGCTGCCACAGATCCCCCCTGAAAGATTTCAGCCCTGGGAGAATACCGATTGGTAGGTGGGGGGGGGAGGGGAGGTTGAATTCTCCCATCAAAAGGAACTCCTGGTTTCCAAGTATGGTAGAAAAATCCCCAGTCCATGGACTTCCTGGGCCAACCTGAGAGGTAGCTGCTTCTGGAGCAGGACCTCTCCCAGGACCCTTGGAGAATTTCAGCCTCAGGAGAATGTTCCACATCCCCCCTCCCTCCTGCCCCCTGCCACTGAGGATTAGCTATTAACGGGGGTGGGGAATGGACATGCACCTGTAATACAAACCCTCCTGGAGCTCCAGGAGAATTGCCACTTCAGGAGAATAGCTCTCTAGCCCCTGCATTTCTCCAGGTCAACACAAACAAATGCAGAGCGGTGGAAGACAGCTGCACCTACAGTGACAATCATTTGGGAGTTCCAGGAGAGTTTCTGCTCCCAGAAAATGGCTCTGTGCCTGCTACTGGATCAATCCAGAGGGGTGTGGGGAAGGCAGGAGACATCTGTGCCTATGGTGAGTGTGGCGAGCCAGTAGCGTGTGCTCCTGCATTGAGCCACCCACCTCACTGCACCCAACCACCTTCCAGGCTCCAAGTGCCTTCCTAGGGGTGCCTCACATCTGCCCAACCCCCTTCCTGAAGCACACTCACTAGCCTGGGGGTATCACTGCCACCACTCAGGGATGGGTTTGATTCTGACTCTGTGCACCCTGGGAAACACAAGCCTAGTAGCCCTCAAGGGTACTTGATTCACTTAAAAAACTTGGGATGCTTCCCTCGGTCAGAAGCACAAGTAGTGGTCTCCCTTATTCAGCCGAACCAAGGGGACCCCAAGGCATAATCTAGACCCACTCCCAATAAGTCTCCCATGCTAGGTACAAAGGAGGACTGTATTGGTTACAAGGAGTAGGATTGCAATAGGGAACAGGGTAGAGCAATATCAGAGAAATCCCATAGAGCAAACTGACATGGCTGGGTAGCCTTTGATCATGCATCTGAGTTACTGCAAACTATATATCTAGTTAGATCTCAGGTAGATTACTCACAAGTATCATCCAGAGGTAGGTGGAGATTCCCCCCGGAGGCAGGCAGTTAGTTCCTTGATCATGAGTTTTGAGAGCGAGAGAGCAAGTTTCAGATGGTCCACCTCTTCTCTCTCTGAGTCTTCCTCATGGCTGCTGCCCCTTCCTCCTGTGTAGTCCTTAACTTATATAGCCCTTGTGACCTCATTTACCTGGTCCAATGGAGGCCAGCACCTCTTGGCTGTCAGCCAACCAATTTGAAATGCATCACTAGTTGCTGGGCAGACTGGCAGCTCCTAGGTACCCAGGGAGCAAGCCCCTGACCCAGGCATGTGATGCCAGTCATGTAGACAGAGGGACCAGGTTCCCGCCCCCCTCAGGAATGTATCCAGCTCAGGTTACCTAAAGAGATAGGGTAAGGTGTGTATCCTCTGCTGGGCCCATCCTAACCAAATTGTCACAGAGCAGAGTTTATGGGGAGAAACAGAGGTGGCCTTCTGCCACAATGAGAACCCTCCCAGGGCCCCAGGAAAGTTCCTCCTATGGGAGAATATCCTGCCCTCTCACCAATCAGCTGATTATCAGGAGGGGGTAGAAATTTTCCAAGGCAGGATCCAAACAGGGTTTCCATCCCTGGGTGGACTATCAGGAAGCCAGTGTTCTCCTCCCACCCACCCTCACCCAAGAAGCAGAGTTCTGTAGGATACTCAAGTGTCCTGAACACCCAAGAGAAACATATAGCCATTCAAGTTAGTGCAGAAGAGAGATCTTCCAGGCAGAAAGTGATCTAAGTTTGCCTGCAGAGGAGCCAGCTATCTTCTACAAGAAAGCTTTGAACAGCTGTAAACTCTCTTTCTGTACTAGGAGAAAAGCTTTTCTCCAAGCACAGACAAAATGTGTGTCCATAACCTAAGCTACCTGATGGGTAAAATAGGTTTTGGCTTGCTTACCCTCATGGGCACTTATGGACTCCCTTGACTATTATGCTTTATTTTTTATGATTAAGATTATATCTTTAAAATCTGCTTTCAGAACAAGGATAATTCTCAGCTTTGCAATGTAATTCTTGTTCCTCTATTTCCAGGCTTATAATTTTGAGATGGAGGCAAAACTTTTCCCCAGGAAGTCTAGGCAGCTCCTTGCACTTTAAATAAACTGTTTTAAAATTACCTTATTTGCTTGCAATGCTTTTACCTCCATTCACGCTTGCTTGTCAATTACTCTATTCATACTGAGCACTGAGGTTTGGGAACTGAGCAAAGACAAAGTTTGCTTTGACTGCCACATGCTTTGTGGAAGATAAATACCTTCAAGTGTCTATGAATATGTTTGGAAGGGAACAAACTCAACCTTAAAAGAACTATTTTTATTTCTCTACACATGATGATAGTGTTCTGGTTAAATAATAATTTAAAAGTTTACTTGGAGTATAATATCATTTTCATTTCAAAATTAAAGAATCCCTGCCTGAAAATATCCTGAGAGAAGCCATCTTTTTAAAGAAGTGTTAGAGTATGCTTACACTCTAGCTAAGGGTGCTTACACCCTTACAATTAGCACCCACTCAGTTTAAGAGACATAAGGTCATTGTTAGTGCACATTCATGGTTAATAACCTCTGTAACATGCAGAGCTCTGAGATGTCACCAGAGGGCTGGCAAGCAGGGATGTGCCTAAGACCTGACAAGTCTGCTCCATATGCCTTCCCAGCATAGTGGGCGCGCACACACAGCCCCCCAACAACCCTGTGCACATGTACACACACACATATACACAAAGCTCTCAGTGTGCACACCCCTGTCCCTTGACTTCCTTTTGGCTCGTGCTGAAAGCAGCACAGCAAGACTATCAGGACAACAATGGGAGAGTAGCTGTCCCTGGCTGCATGGAGCCTGGGAACATACAGGCAGTTCATCACCTCTGGGCAGCAGCCAGAGGTGCACCGTGAGAACACCACCCCCCCTCCACTGCTCATGTGTGTGCTCTACTGTGATTGCATGTCCATGTGCTGCAGGTGCACATATTTCATTGTATTGTGCTGCTTGTGCATGTGTCACATTGTGCTGTGCTGTGCTGTGCTGTGCTGAGCTGTGCCATGCTGTGTGCATGTGTGGTGCTAGGTTGTGTTGTGTTGTATGTGCCTGTAATGTGTGTGGGCTGTGTTGTCTGCACAGCACTCCCTCCCTCCCCCAGCAGCCTGGCAATACCCTCCTTCCACTTCCTGCAACCCAGCAGCTTCCCTTCCCACTCACCCACTGCTGCTCTGATGTCCAGGATGTCAGTGCAGGGGGCGGGGGCAGGGAAGAGCACTGGAGTCCAGGAGGACAGCTGGTTCACCTGGGATTGGTGCATCCTGGGATAATGGAGGACTGAGCTTGTCATTTGATCTCCCCTGAATAATTAGAAGTTAGGCTAAGACAAGTTGGTTAGTACAGCTCAAAGAAAGTCCTCATTTCAAATGGTGTTACTTTAAGATGCCTAGAGGGTACATAACACTTATTAATGAGGGTTGAGAAGGGAGAACATGAAGCTGAGGGTTGAGGGGGAAGAACATGAAGCTGAGAGGTGGGTAATGAAATAGGGCAAGGGTGGTGAAATGAAGTTAGCTACTAAAGGATAAAATAAAATGAAAAAAGATTTTAAAAAGAAATAAAGAGGAAGTAAATTAAAGAAGGTATCATGTTTTAATACATTTGGATTAGGGATTGGGGTGTGTGTTGGGGGGGGGGGGGGGGG